ATATGCAACGAAGAATCACTCCAAAGTTCTTATCTAGCGGAGAATATAAGAAGAAATTGTTTGTAGGGTACGAAACCACCTCGAAGCTATTCTTTTCGATCGATCTATCCAAGAGTTTATACTAAAATAACACCAAATAATTTCAGATTCATAATACTCAATCCAACACAAAGAACCTCAAAGAGTGCCCAAAGATTTCTACTGGAGAAACAAAGACAAGAACGTGCATCAACCCCTATGCATAGATTACCCCAATGTCACCTCGGGAATCCGCGAGTTCAGTGCCAAAACATATATCAAGTGAATCAATACGATACCCCATTGCCACCACGGATATTCATAGCAAGACATGCATAAAGTGTTCTCAAATACATAAAAGTATTCAATCCAATAAAATGAAATCTCAAAGGGAAAACTCAATTCATCACAACAAGATAGAGAGGAAAAAACATCATATGATCCAACTATATTAACAAAGCCTGCGATACATCAAGATCGTGACATCTCACGAACACGAGAGGGAGAGAGAGAGAGATTAAACACATAGCTACTGGTACAAACCCTGAGCCCCGAGGGTGGACTACTCCCTCCTCATCACGGTGGGCGCCGGGATGATGAAGATGGCCACTGGTGATGATCTCTCCCTCCGACAGAGTGCCGAAATAGGGTCTAGATTGGTTTTTCGTGGCTACAGAGGCTTGCGGCGACTGAACTCCTGATCTAGGATTTTTTTTCTAATGGTTTCCCTATTTATAGGATTTTTGGCCTCGGTTTCACGCGAAGATGGGCCTCGAGGTGAGCACAACCCACCGGTGCAAGCCTGGCCCCTCAGGCGCGCCCCGGTGTCTTGTGCCCTACTCCTTCACCTTCTGGTCCCTCCATGAAGTTTAGGGGGTCTCTTTTGTTCCAAAAAATCGTCAAAAAGTTTCAGCTCATTTGGAGAACTTTCATTTCTGCACAAAAGCAACACCACGGTAGTTCTACTGAAAACAACGTCAGTCCGGGTTAGTTCCATGCAAATCATACCAAAACCATATAAACTTATTGTAAACATGGCATGAATACTTCATAAATTATAGATATGTTGGAGACGTATCAGCATCCCAAGCTTAATTCCTACTCGTCCTCAAGTAGGTAAATGATAAAAGAAATAATTTATGATGCGTGGATGCTAGCAAAGTGCACAAGTTTGATCAATGATAATTGCAATCACTTTTCCTAGCATCATAATAACAATTCTTTCTCATAAAACTTCTCATATTAAAGTAGCAGTTGAAAACAGAATTTTTTTATGTGGAATGCTACCTATCATATTTATCATATACTCTTTTCTTTTGTAGCATGGACATTTGGACTTGAATGATTCAAAGCAATAGCCTATAATTTGACATGAGGACATCAATACTCAAGCATATCAACAAGCAACCATGTCTTTCAAAATATCAACATTAAAGAAAGCTATCCCTGGCCCATCATGCTCAATCATTGATCCATTCATGAAACACACTCGCATATTAGCTACATCCAATGCTCGAGTACGATCATAGTGCCCCTTAGTTGGTGCTTTATAAGAGAAGATGGAGACTCAAATAAAAAATAAAAAATGCATAAAGTAAATAGATAGTCCCTTCGCAGAGGGGAGTAGGGATTTGTAGAGGTGCCAGAGCTCAAAGCTTAAATTGAGAGATAAAAGATTTTGGGAGGCATACTTTTCCCGTCAACGAAAATGACCGAGTAATTCCCAACACTTTCCATGCTAGATATATCATAGGCGGTTCCGAAACAGAAAATAAAATTTGTTCATGTTTCCACCATTCTGTCACAATCAATGGCTAGCCGTATCCACAGGTGCCCTCCATACCAGCACTTTCCAAGGAATTTATTATTTGAAAACATAAAGTAAATTTCTTTTTCATTTCAGGACTGGGCACCCCTATTACCTTTGCCGTACTCTTGTGCAATGACAAGTGAATAAACACTCATCTTGGAAATAACACATCCAACATGGAAAATATTGCCCCCCCCCTGCCGCTTGATGAGCGGTACGAGCACACAAAAAGGAACTTATTTTGAAAACTAGAGATGGCACATACAAATTTTCTTAGAATGGCACGGAAATACCGCATATAGGTAGGTATGGTGGACTCATATGGCAAAAATGGTTTTCAGGATTTTGGATGCGCAAGTAGTATCTCTACTTAGTACAAGTGAAGGCTAGCAAAATTTTTGAGAAGCATCCAACCAAGAAACGAAAAATCTCATAAGCGAGCATTAAGCATAACTAACACCGAATAATGCACCACAAGTAGGATATAATTTCATTGCATAACTATTGACTTTCGTGCTTGCATAGGGAATCACAAACCTTAACACCAATATTCTTACTAGAGCATAATTACTCATCAACATGACTCACATATCACTATCATCATATCTCAAAACTATTACAAATAATCAAGTTTAATTTTTCCAGTGATCTTCATGAAAGTTTTTATTATATCCCTCTTGAATATCTATCACTTTGGGACTAGTTTCATATGTTGCAATTGCTTTTTGACAAGCTCAAACAAATTTAAGTGAAGAACATGAGCATAAAAAAATTCATCTCTCAAAATAATATAAGTGAAGCATGAGAGAATTGATAAACTACTCCAAAAAGATATAATTGAAGATCAAATGAGTAGTTAAGTAAATGAGTAGCTATTTGAAGACTCTCTCTTATTTAAAAGTTTCAGATCTAAGTATTTTATTAAAATAGCAAGAAAAACAAAATTAAATGACATTCCAAGGATAACACACATCATGTGAAGAAGCAAAAACTCAGGCCCAACCGATACTAACCGATAATTGTTGAAGAAGAAAGGTGGGATGCCTACCGGGGCATCCCAAGCCTAGATGCTTGAGACTTCTTGGAATGTTAACTTGGGATGCCTTGGGCATCCCCAAGCTTGAGCTTTTGTGTCTCCTTAATTCCTTTTATGTCTCGGTTTCCCTAAATCTTAAAAAACTTTATCTACATAAAACTCAACAAGAACTCGTGAGATAAGTTAATATAAATCAATGCAATAACCTTATCATTCTCTACTGTAGAAAATCACTAAAATTATTATTCAACATTGCATACTAAATGCCGCTGCATATTTAATACTCATATTCTCAAATAGAATCATTAAACAAGCAAAAATATGCAAACATAACAGCAATCTGTCTAAACAGAACACTCTGTAAAGAGTGCAATATTCATCATACTTCCCTAACTGCAAAAATTCTGAAATATTACCACACTGTAGAAAATTTATCATAGCTTATTGTGCAAAATGTTTCAATATTTTATCACATTCTGACTTTTCTACAGAATTTTTGCAACAACAATAAACTTTCCATTTTGAAACAACAACTCATATACTTGCAAAATAAGCATGGCAAAGGCTATACTTGACACAACCTTTTGAAGCAAAAGAATGATGCTCTACTTAGCAAATGGTTGTTCAAACTTTTTTACTAAGGATGATGTTTGGCAACCCATGTGGCGCAATAAGTATCTAGGCAAAAGGATGTGTCTCGGGCCTATTGAAAACCTGACGACTAGCACTTTTGTGGCTAGCCTAATGGCGGCAAACAATGCCATGAACCCCAAAAAACATTCCCTTACAAAAAAACCAGTGAAAACCTGAATTTTGAAAAATGTCGTTCTCTAATATAAAAAATTAACCATAGATGTTAAAAAATGTATTCAAAATTGCCATGGTCATATAATTTGAGTTGCCATGTCAACACAAGAAGAGGAAAACATGCCATGATAAATACTCCCTCCGTCTCAAAATTCTTGTCTTAAATTTGTCAAGATACAAATGTATCTAACACTAAAACGTAACTAGATATATCCATATTTGGACAAATCTAAAACAAGAATTTTGGGACGGAGGGAGTAAATGATACTACCTTCGTTCTGGTTTATAGGTCTCCTTTGTAGTTTGTGTCAAATTTTGACTAAAGATTTAACTAACAAAATGTTAATGCATGTCAAGAAAAATTATCTCATTGAATTCGTATTTGAACATAGTTTCCAAAAATATAATATTTGGTGACATGCGTGAACATTTTGTTAGTTTAATCTATGGTCAAAATTTGGCACGAAATACAATGGGGACCAATAAACCCGGACGGAGATAGTATCTCTTAATAACAAAAATGTCATCTTTTAATATAAAATTCCATCTTTTAATAAACAAAAATGCCATGTCTTAATATGAAAATGTCATCTCTTATAAGGAATAAATGCCATCTCTTAATATAAATATAACATCTCTTAATAATTTAAAATGCTATCTCTTAATAAAAATGGCATATCTTTACAATAAAAAAATTCATCCTCAATAAAAAAAGATCATGTACAATAACAAAACTTTGCTTGTCGAACAAAACAAAAATAGACAAACTTTTTGAAAAAAGAAATGCCATGTGACATAGTTTGAAAATTTATAAACTGTCATGTTAATTTTTTCTAGAAAAAATGTCATTTGATTAAAAAAAGAAGTAAAAGGGAGACTGGGATTCTAACCCAGATCTCTTAGGTATATAGGGTCGCGTCACTAGCAAATGCGGTGGCTGAAAATGTTATGCATGGTATTGCGTTCGCTGGATTTTATCGTACAGCGAAGTAGTTTCAAAATCCGACGTGGCTCCGATCCGCACCAGGATTCGTGCAGAGGAAATCCAATGGGAGAGTGCGCGTTCGCTGGGATTGCCCCCGAGCGAACGTTCACCAGTTACTATTTCGCGTCTTTATTTGATGGGCCGAATTGTCCAGTCCCCACCAGCAGGGCCCATTGCCCGGTGGAGCGAGCGGTGGCCCCTAAAACCCTATCCACGGACCCACCGCCCAGCGATAACCAACCCCTCCTGCCAAAGAACTCGCCGAGACGCCGCCCGCCGCCGCCGCCAAGCCGTAACCGAAGAGGGAGCCCAAGCGAAGCAAAACTCCCCAAATCCGATCTCCCATGGAGTCGCAGCTGCAGGGCAATGGAGAGCAGGCCACGGACGCGCGCTACCACGACGCCGCGTCGGCGGCGCCGGCCAGCAATGCGCCGCTGGCCATAGCGGTGGTCCCGGCGGCCGCGCACGGGCCCATCGTGCCGAAGCCGGAGCAGGCGCCGGGGGAGTTCCTGGGCGGGCTCGCCGTGGCGCTCCCGCCGCGGAACCGCGACCGGCACACCAAGGTCGAGGGCCGCGGGCGGCGCATCCGCATGGCGGCGCCCTGCGCGGCGAGGGTCGCACAGCTCACGCGCGAGCTCGGCCACAAGACCGACGGAGACACCATCCGCTGGCTCCTGCAGCAGTCGGAGCCGGCCATCGTCGCCGCCACGGGCACGGGGACGGTGCCCGCGATCGCCACCACCGTCGACGGCGTGCTCCGCATCCCCACCGAGTCGCCCTCCGCCGCGGGGGCCGACGGCGCGGGGCCGGCATCCAAGCGGCGCAAGCTCCAGCCGACGCGCGCGGCGGGCGGCGCGGGGCCGCTCGTCGCGGCGCCCCCTGCGGCCTACTACCCCGTCGCGGCCGACCCCCTCCTGCAAGGCAACGGCGGCGGCGGCGCGATTTCGGTGTCCAGCGGCCTCGCCCCCGTCTCGGCCGCGGCAGCGCCCGCGGGAGGCCACATCCCGTTCTTCGCCCTACAGGTGCCGGCATCCGGGGACGGGAAGCAGATGGTTCCCCAGGCAGCCATGTGGATGGTTCAGCAGCCGCCCGCCGCCGGAGGCGCGCCCAACCACCCGACGCACTACTGGGCGTTCCAATCCAACCCTGCAGAATTCAACAACTTCCCCGGCGCACAGGCCATCAACGTCGCCAACTACCAGCAGCAGCCGTGCTACAGCCCGATGCAGTTCGTCGCCGCGGGCGGGGAGCCACAGGACCAGCAAGAAGCCGGTGACCAGTGCGCGGACGCCGACGACCAGATCCAGGGCCTGGAGGACGACTACGACGGCGAGGCGTTGACTGACTCCAGCTCCGAAGAGTAGCATGGCACGGCAGCGCCAAGCTCCATAGTCCATAGAACAAACTCGAATCCAAGACTAGGTTAGAACTTTTGCCTGATCTGATTTTCTTCTTTCTGTCTTTCTTGTGCCATGTCTCGTATACGATGTTGGTGATTTTGGTTGGATTGGAATTTGGAAACTGGTGTAGAGAAGTTTGGTGTCGACAATTGAGTAGAAAAGCTTGACATGCACAAAAGTTATCACGAGTTTATCTGCTTTTTCTGCGTAGTACTAGTAGTAGCAGCACTGTCCTGTGCACTCGGTGTTTTGTGTTTGTTATTGTAGTCAATCTTTTGACTGCCCTAGTAGTTGACTACTCCCTCCGTAAAAAAATCACTAAAATTGTTATCTAAACACTTTTTATATTTCTTTACAAAGGGAGTACTATTGGTACTACTTTGGATTAGAGCATCTGCAAGAACACAAATGCATTTCCGTTTGAAAATATTAGAAGGTGTTGGTTTATCATAAGTCAAACTTCTTTAAGTTTGACCAACTTCATAGAATTTTTTTAATATTTGCAACATCAAATATATAAAATATATAATGAAACTAATTTGGTGTACTAATTTATGTATAAAAAATATGCTCCCTTCAAATATATAAAGTATAAAAGTATATTTGAAAATAATTGACTCAACTTTGTACTAACTTTAGTCTAAAATTAATACTCCCTTTGTAAACTAATATAAGAGTGTTGAGATCACTATTTTAGTAAACTAAACATTTTTATATTAGTTTACGGATGGAGTACAAAGTAGAGTCACTTATTTTAGGAAGAAGGGAGTACATGTTATGAAATATATATATAATGAAACTAATTTGGTGTCGTAGATGCTGTAGCAAAGAAAACTATATCATGTTGGTAAAATAGGACTTTGGGCTATGACTGTCTGTCCACGGAGCTTCAATCTAGCAGCAATTCCATTCACTCGCCACATGAACAAAATGTATACTTCCCCCGTTACATAATATACGCTGACATTTTAGATTTTTTATACAGTCTCTAATAAGCAACTTTGACTGTTGACTGTAGCATCACTATGTAAGTTAATAGTATATCAAACTATTTCGCAAAAAATATTATGTATCAAATTGTATTGTGCACTATTTTCCATGATGAATCTAGAGGTACAAATTTTGATGGTAGAGTAGTTTTTTCTACTGATCAGTGGTCAAAGATAGAAAAACATGACCGGCAAGTCGTGTATTTTGGAACAGTGGTACTAATATGTGTCAAGATGAACAATCATCTAATCGTCATGTCTCGGTATACTCCATGTATTGTTCATGAAGTTTGCGTAGACCGGAAAACCTGATAATCAAAGGAATACTGTAATCTTGAAAAAAGAAATTCAACAAAGAACTTTTGTCGTTGCTATTCACCACTCCACCTGGTCTGGATGAATTCGCTTTCATCCTAAAGTGGTTCTCATGGAAAGAACATAGATAAATATGTCTGCATTGTACATGGTGGCCGAGCTCGTTGTGCCAGAAGAGCTGATGGCACTGTCATTGTCTTCTTGTTCTCCTCTTTTGTCGTTATAATCTTTCTGGTGGATTTCATGTAGGAATTTTGTAATTGTCCGTATTTTGCTAGTCTGGCGAAGTGCGTGAAAATGGGAAGAAAGTGGTCAACGGTTGGATATGGGGTAAAGTGGGAGATGTGGACGGAGATGGGAGAAAAGTACGAATGGCACGTGAGCTCTCGTCAGTGACGTGGTGATCACATTGTGGTCAAGCTCAGTAAAAGGGTCAAAACCATATTGGGGCCAAGGGAGGAGCGCAAATAGAACAATGCCGAGAGACGAGAGCCCTGAGATCCAGGCCCTTTTGGTGGTTGAGTAGCATATATTTTATTCACTTCATTTTATAATGTACTCCCTCTGTTCCTAAATACTCTCTCCGTTCTAAAATAAATGACTCAACTTTGTTCTAACTATAGTATAAAGTTGAGTCATCTATTTTGGAACGGAGGGAGTACGATATTTGTCTTTTTAGAGATTTTAACAAGTGAGTACATACGAAGTAAAATGAGTGAATCTACACTCTAAAATATGTCTACATACATCTGTATATTGTAATCCATTTGAAATGTTTAGGAAGACAAAATATTTGAAAACAGAGGAAGTAGTGTATAAACATTAAAAAAACTAAAATTTATAAACTTTGATCAAGTTTGTAAAGAACTACCTATATCTGTAATACTCCCTTCGTCCGAAAAAAGTTGTCCCTCAAATGGATGTATCTAGCACCAAGTTAGTGCTAGATACATTCATTTGAGGGACAAGTTTTTCCGGATGAATGGAGTACCAAATAGGAGTATATACAAATGTAAAGATATGTTCCGCAATGTATCTAATGTTATGTACTTCCTCCAACGGGTTTATCTCTCTTGTATTCTGGGCCAAAATATGACCTGTGTTTAATTATATTCTTTATTATTACATATAACTCTTCTCTTGGTAGTCAAATGATGATGAAAATTTGACTCAAAGTATAAGAAGACTAATAAACCAGATCAGAAAAAGCAGTTGATATTGTTGATAGGTAAAAGATGACATGGGAACCATTGGATAGCTCAGGTTTTCAGATGTTATGTACTTCCTCCGTAAACTTATATAAGACCTTTTCAGATCACTACTCCAATATAAGATCTTTTTAGGTCACTAATATTAGTGTTTTTCGGGGGTACATAAGAAAAACGTCCGCTACAGCTGAAAAGTGTAGGAACGTTAGGATTCTTAAAAACAATCACAGGTGGTGAAAGATGACCATTGTATAGCTTAAGTTTTTTTTCCCTAAAAAAAGAGAGGATAGCTTAACTTTTTCAGGATGTTTGAATCTCCAACTAACTTCGTGTATGTTGGTTGCGCTGCGCCCCGTGCTTTCTGGTGCCTGGGACGCGGGCCCAAGCAAAAGCGCGCATCCATTGTTGAGTCAAGCGGCAAACTAAATCAGTTGGGCTCGCGAGTAGTACGAGAGGTGGCCGTGGGCCGTAGCCAAGTGGCCGGCGTTGGGCTCGCTGTCACAGGGCGGCAGAGATAAGCGCCAACGTGGATGATCTTGAGCAGTGAGCCGCTGCCTCGTGCCTCGTCGTCCTGCCCAACGAAGCAACGCATGGCGTGAAAAATGTATGGCAGCAGCGTCGGCGTGCCACTCATCGTCAGTTGCTCTGACATGGCATGCGCTCTGCACTGGTCGTCGTCTAGTCCATGCGCACCGTTAAAGCTGGAGTAATTTACTTATTTACAGGCCGAAGCTCTGCTCCCAAACGCCAAAGCAGTGTGCTTCCGAGGAAAGAAACGTCGTTGCGTCCCCGTTTCGGGGGCTTTCCATCCGCGGAGAGTCGAGAAGGCCGAGAGGAGTCATCGTTGAATCCCGTTTTGGGGCTTCGGTTGCGTTTTTTTTTTTT